ACTCTTTGTATTTACTAATCTTCCTTGAGATTTGAGTTGTTTTACTTGTAATTTTTCACGATTACTCACAATGAGATTTGACTCCTCGTTCCAATTCTTATATCTCATTTATCTTTTCTTTGCAATATTATACCAGGTAGGTACTCCATTACAATGATAAATACAAGCACTATGTGGATTTGTCCATTTCTTCTTATAATTTTGACAGGGTTTTTTGGGTTTTTTTTTTTTTTTGCCTTTATATTTTGAGACTGTTTCATTAGATGCATATACATTCATACTTACTATATTTTCTTTAATGGATTGTTCCTTTTAATTATTAGGTAGTCTCTCTTTTCTTTAATACCAATTAATGCACTTCACCTTAAATTCCTTTGTTCTATGTCCATATTACTGTAACAGTTTTACTGGGTTTAGCATTTGCATGGTATTGTTTTTTGCTAAATCTCTATTTTTAGGATTCTTATTTGGTGTTTAGTATCTTTTTGATGTATAAAAATGCTGATTTTTCCCCATCTAACAATTTTTATCTTTCAACAGGTGAAGATATACATAGTCTGCTTACATATATTCCTATTTATTTATTTTTTTTTGCCATTTTATTGTTTTCTATCATTCCCTTCCTCTTCTTGCATTTTACCAGAATGGTAAAAAGTTCTGCATTCCAGTCCTCTCCACCCTTGCTGGCACGGAAACTAAACAGTGTATACTTTAAAATATACATACTTAAATTTTCCTAATAAAATCTATATTCTGTATTTCTAATCTTCCTAACAAGATTTTCTCATATTTGTCAATTAATCCTTTTTACTTTTTCATTTCTCTTAATGCTCATTTATAATTTATAGTTTTGTTTGTACATTCGATGTTTTTACAGTACCTTATTCTTCTTTAAAAGTCACGGTATATATAAAATATCTTTCAAGATATTAACAATAGTTCAAAAAAAGTTCTTTTTCCCTTTTGTAATCCTTGTTTTCTCCAACTTCATCTTAAATGGTTTGTTTCTAGTTTTTTTCCTGTTCGAGACTTGCCTCAAATGTCTGATAATCCTTGGCTGTGTTTGCTCATATTTAAGTATAAACAGATTAAAAAGGTGATGGGTAGTCTGGGTGAAGCTTAATGACTGTGGGCTCACTGAAAGGTAATGGCTGAGTATGTTTTTGTGTTTTGTTTTGTTTTGTTCTGTCATTATCTTTAGGTTTGGAGCTGTATACATTCATTTAATCCCCATTTAGTAGCTCGAATCTCAACTACCAATGCAAGTCAGAGTTCCTCTATTTAGCCTCCAGAGAACAGGAGCTGATGAGGGTATATTTAGGGATCTGACTCCTTTTAAATAGCTTTGAATTAATGCCTATCCTTTC